GGGCGAGTGAGCCGTCACCCAGCCCCGCGCCCCAGCCCTGCCCCGCGAGGAAGGACCGGGAAAATGAACAACGGCGGCAAAGCGGAGAAGGAGAACACCCCGAATGAGGCCAACCTTCAGGAGGAAGAGGTACTGAGGGGCTCGGTGCGGTGGCGGGTGCTAGTCCCGGGCTCCCGGCTGCGCTTCGGGGAGGGGGCGCCGCGTGGAAAGGTTTGGGAACTATCGTTGCCCCGAGACGCAGCCCTGAAAAGTGGCTCCGGGACGGTGTGTCTGTGTCCACGCGCGTCTGCGTGTCCACAATTGCGTAACTCTGAGGACTTTGGGGACACTTTTTAAAGTATAATGGTGAGCTTTGTTTGCCTGGGATTTTAAAAGCGGAATCGAGAGCTGACTCCTGAGTGACCTCAGACGATCTGGACCAGGAGCGTCAGAACTTAGTTCTCTCTGTCTGGAACTGAAACTTAGGAGGTTGGTGAAGGAAGAAACTCGGGGAAAAATTCTCGTGAAAAGACACCTCAGTTCCCTGCCCACTTCCCTCTCTTTCAGTGTTAGAAATTCTTGGTGAAATACCTAGCCGAGACAGTTTGGATTAATAGATAACTCATCAGCTGCATTCTTCTCTGATGAGTCAAAGACCCCCCGAACCTGGGCGATTAGCTTTTGTATGTTTGGGAGCGATGTGGAATGGGGGGAGCAGAATAAAAGTGAAAAGTGCTCATCGAGGATGTTTTAATAAGACATTGACTTAGGATATAAATTTTATGTAGTGCGACTAAAGTAATGATTTTAAAAAAGTTTTGAGGCTGCAGAGCGTTCCTCTTGTGGAAGCACATTTAGTAAATGTGTGGACCAGGGTGCAGGGCCGGGGAGGAACTCAGAAACAAATGTTTCAGAATTTTGCAGCTAAGATATTTGTGATATCATATGATTCTGTTCCTGTAATTACATTATCTGGAGTCCAAGAAACTGTTTTTCTTGCTTTTAAAGATCCTACATAACTGAGTTCTTAAACATTCTAAAAGGAACTTAAGAGTGCACATGCAGGAAATACACATCTTAATATAATCTGTAAAGGGTTTTTACAGGTATTATGTCCGAATAAAGGACACAGGAGGTAAACTGGAGGTAAACTGGAGGTAAACAGTTAAGGTGGTGAGATTATTGTTGAGACACGGTGTTGTGTGCAGACTGAAATTCGGAGAGTGAAACCAAACATTGCAGAGGAATTCATCAATGTACCTAGGACCTGGACATTATCCACTTGTATAGTGGGCTATGTACAAGATAAGAGGAGAGACCTAAGGTCATGTGAAACTGCAAAATATTTTTCTCTTAAAACACAGTTGTATGGTTGTGCAATCCAGGTGAATTGCAAAAAGCTGAAAACTGTTTTCTTACCTTTTGAGGAAGTCGCCTAGTTTATTATTTTGAAAAGTGTTTTTTTTTACACGCTTGTTGTTCTACAAGTATAGGAATATCATTATTCTTTTTGAAAAAGACACTTGAATTTGCAAGTTTCACTCTTTTCTTGAACCTTATTGATTGCTTTGCAATTTACTTCCTGATCACTAACATTTTTTTTAAATGATGCCAGTTTGCTTTTAGAAATTGCTGTTTAATTAATTCACTTAGCATATCAAGATAATCACTGCTTCTGAAACATTTCAGTTAGATTGCCAAAACCCTTTACTTCTAAAGGTAAAAGAATGTCAGGTGTGAAATCATCTTTCTCCCTTAGTCCAATTGAGAAAACTTGAAACTGGGAAAAAAAATTTAATCAGAACAATGAGATTTTTGTTTTGTTTTGTAGGTAGCAAAATAGGTTTGTGTGTGTGTCCCCCAAACCATATCCGGTTAACTTAAAATTATATAGAGGAACGTCATGTTTTCCTCTTGACTATCACAGCTGAATAGCTTCTAGGACTGAGGTATTGGCCTTTTTTCAATGTGAGCTGCTATATAGTTAGTGCAATGACTGCCATCCCAGTGCTGTGATTGTCTTGTCCGTTGTCCTGATGGTATTCCTTTGCAGGTAGGAATGGTATATAGAACTAGAGTATCAGTATTTTTAGCAAAACACTTGTTATTTAAATCCAAGACCCGTGGGAAGGTTTCAGAACCTAGTTACACCCAAGGTAGAATGTATAATATAGATATAATGAAGAATGGGGGTTTATAATATTAGAGATTCAGGAGGAATAAGTTGGTCTGGATGATTCCTTGTTTTTGGTTTACATTTTGTTTTTGAAAAAATACTGGTATGTCGCCCCCCCATCCCAAAGCCACAAGTAAAATAAATACAGTATTTGGTGAGTCCCATTAATGTGCTTGACATTATACAAAACCACCACTCTGGACCCTTTTCCTGCCCACCCAGGGGTTCAGCAATTTGCTCTCAAACATATTTAAAAGCCTTGGCGGTAAACTCCAGTAAACAGAACACACACATATAACGTGTACATATACATAATGGCAAGAGAGGAAAAATATGCTTAGTTTTAATCTCTGGTGGCCATTGAACTGATGTGGAAAAATGAATCCAATCATAATTAAGAGAAAATAGTTTATTTCCTAGATTGCTGGGGTGGTTTAGGCTTTCTTCCATGTTGGAGAATCCAAGTTTGTTTGTTTTCTATTTTTGACATGAGTTCTCTTATCATTCAGTATGTTTTAACCCCATTTGAAAGTTTCTTGTTGCTTATTTGGCTCCAGTGGTATAGAATGAATGGTATGGGATTTAGGAGAATTTTTGCAGCTTTTTAAGGTTGGAAGTTTCTTGAGAATTTGTGTAGAATATGTACTTCTGCTTTGGATAGCGTGTAAAACTTTGAAGAGAATAATTTAAGATTTAGCTAGGCAACCGGGTGAGAGAATGTACTGGCTTTCTGTGTGTATTCCTATGCAAGTTGTTTCTGTAAAGAAAAAACCAGTTGTCAAATCTTACTGAGTTATCTGAGATTTATAAGGTTTATATTGATATGTACAGGGTGTCAGATCATTTTTTTAACTACTTTACAATTAATAAAATAATTTCTTGAATTTGTCTCCAGTTGTATGATCAGACTTTAATGAAGTTAATAAATACCTAACAGACCCATAATTATTTGTCTTAGTTATCATTTGTAATTTTTAATATATTCTAATATATTGACTCTTTCTGTCTTATAGACAGAAATAATTTATTTGCTGGGCATGGAATTTTCAAAATAGAAATTTCTCTTGGAAATCATATAAATATATAATTTAGTTTTATTTTTAGTTTTATTTTATTCATGTCATTGGGTACATTTTGGCTTATTACAAATCACTTCCAACAGGCATTTTATTGTGTTGAAGGAGTTTTATTTATAGTGTAAGTCAGTTCAGCCACAGCAATTTCAGGAAAAACTAGAGAAGTGAAAAACTTGGCACCATTGGAATATTGATCAAAAAGATGTTTGGCAGATGTTGGGCAGAAATCATGTAAAGCCAAACCTTTCAGAGACTCATACAAACTTTACTTCACATTTCTTCCTTTAAAGTGCTTAGTAATTTTGCTAAAGTAAGAGAGTTGTAAAGACAATTGCTTTTCATACTTGACACAGAGAAAGGGTAATGTCAGTGATGTAGCCATGTCAGGTTTTCATTGAGCTTTAAGATGAATCTATATGATGACTTTGGGAAGGTACAGAATGGTTTTGTGCAATTTAATCGAATTTGGAATCTTTCTTATTGCAAATCAAATCTAATACAAAAACTTATATTTCAATTATAGAATAGGATTTGGTGACAGTGATTTGGATGAAAATATAGTGACTTCATAGTAGAAGGATGCTGCAAGACCCCTGCCAATATTGCATGCAGTTTTGGGTTATTTTTCAGGGATGGTTTTATAATGTCCTTGATAAACCGTTGTGCACATGTGCATTCTTGTTTCCAGTGGCATTTAATGTTTTGTTTTTGATGAGGTAGTTCTTTTTCGGAGGTGCTTTTGTATTATATTTGTAAGTTCATTTTAATTTTTGCTTTGAGGATAAAAGTGTTTGGTGCTGGTAATAGGGAAGTATATTGGGAACTCAGAGCTGTGTGGGGTAAGGTGACAGAAATTAGTGTAGCTTTTCTGAGGGACTTTGGTAATTTTGTATCAAAACTTGTTCCAGCCCTTTTTTTTTTTTGAATGCTTTCATTATTAGGAATTTACTCTAAGGAAAGAGGGTATAATAAAGACTTATTTATAGAAATAATTATTACAGTTACTTATGATGTTGAAGATTCACAAACTGTATCTAATAGGGAAATTGCTAAGCAAAACATTATAAAGTTATAATAAGGAAATATTAGGCAGCCATTAAAGGATATGCTGTTAAAGGAAAAAAAATTATATAAAAATACACACACACACACACACTTATTGTCTTTCAGTTCTGTAGGCCAGAAATTTGAAATCACTGTATCGGCAAGGCAGTGATGCACCCTGTAAAGTGCTGGGAAAGATTCTTCCTTGCCTCTTTCTGTTTCTGGTGGCTCCAAATGTTCTGAAGTCTATTTTTATTGAGGGGATAATTTTCAAGTTGTAACATTAAATAAAAAGAGCAGATTTTGCTGCTCTTTATATTTATGTAAGTAAAACCAAATGTAAATAAAATTCATGTAATTGGTGGGTTACAGATAGTTATTAATCATTTTCTGATGCTTTCCTTTGTTTTCCTTTTTTTTTTAAATGACTGTGAGAATGAACAGATGAGATGCCTTTTTGCTTTGAAGATTTTATGAAATTCCTTTGTGATATCTATAGGTGTCCCAAGTCAAGTCAAGCCGGTTGGTTATATGTAGTTTTTAGTCACCATCCTGGCTGCATGAATCTAGCCTGTTCTCATAGCCTTCTTCATATTTATCTAATCATCACTTTATCCTGGATCATTTTAGTATCTTTAGCTGTCTCTCTGTTCTAGTATCCTTCCTCAAACCATCCTTACACCATACAGTTACGTCTTTTGATATTTCACATTCTAAAACGCTACTCTAATCTCCACAAAATAAAGTTCAAATTCAGCACTTAGAATTGTCCTAAAGTATCTCTATACTCTGCAGACCATTTGCTTCAACTTCCTCCTCTATTCTCCTGAGGCAGCCTGCATTGTTTCCGGGCA